CTTTTCGACCAGCCAAGCTCCCTTCTAGGCAGAGTTTTACTAGGGAAATACTGTACGGATGCTTCTTTTCTTGAGTGCACATAGCCTCGGGTCTCATTGTACGGGTGGAAAGGAATTATAGTTGGACGTAAGCTCATGCTAGATGGACTCGGATAGTTGGGAACGGGAGAGATATTAATGTTTGGCGATGCATGTGGCTGTCTTTGTCAGCCCCATTAGCTCCTATGGGTCCTCCAAATCGAGATTCAGAGCACATGAGAGTATGTGACTTGATTGATCCTACAACTAAGTGTTGGAATGTTGAAAATATTAATCAAATCCTACCTCAGTATGAGGGTGACATACGAAAGATCTTCTTGAGTTCCTTTGGGCAACAAGACTCTCTTGTATGGCTTCATGACAATTCATGACAGTTTACATCAAAGACATGATACAATCAAAGCTTTTGTAAACAACTTACAGGGAGAAGTGATGACTTCAACTGGTGGTCAAATATTTGGAGTGTTAAAACAGCCCCAAAGTTGCATTTATTTCTTTGGAAAATCAAACGCAGAGCTCTTCCAGTGGGCTCTAATCTGTCCATTAGAGGGGTAGCCGGTAGCATTAATTGTAAGCGATGCGGAGCTGTGGAAGATGAGCTCCATGTTCTTATAAAGTGCCCTTTTGCCTGCAGAGTTTGGGACCTTTTACCGACGATCTCCAAACCTCAACACAATGATATCGAATCCATTGCTCTTCTTTTGGAGAGTACACGTCGACTGATTTCTCTTCCGCCTTCGGGAATTGTTGTGGCCTTGTTTCCTTGGGTATTTTGGTTCGTGTGGAAAACGAGGAATTCACTCATCTTCGAAAATAGAGGAGATACTGAGCTAGAAGTAGTTACTAGGATTTTGTGTGAAGCAAGGAATTGGCAAGATGCAAATCAGAGTGAAGCTCCTTCTGTGATCAAGCACGCCTCTACTCAGGTCTTGGCATCAGACAGTGGCTCAGTCATGTGCCACATCGATGCTGCATGTGAATCAAACTCCCTGGATTGTGGAATCGGTTGGAGTTTCTCCCATCAGAGTTTAGATACTCTGCTTCAAGGGACAGCCACGCATAGGTTTATACCTTCCGTGTTGTTAGCTGAAGCCCTTGCCCTTAAAGCCGCCTTAATTGTAGCTCCAACTTCTGAGATCAGAGAACTTATGATTCTCTCTGATTTTCAAATCCTCATCTCTCTACTCAACTCCGGTGGGGTAATAAACGAGTTGAAAAGCATCCTCTCTGACATTAGATGTCTTGTGAGCTCCTTTTCTTTTCCTATCCTCTTTAGTTTTATACCTCTCAAAGACAATCAGATTGCTGATGGATTGGCGAAGGCTGCATTACAATCTCTTTCTTCTTCTATTTTGTAAGGTTCTGTTTCTGTAAGACTCTCTGTTTTTTAATTAATAAAATTATTTGGTTTGCACAAAAAAAAAGGTATATAAACTGGATGATAAAACTAAAGTTAAAAAAAAAGAGTAATAATATATACTATATAGGGAAATTGAGTTTAATAACCAAACAAAAAACAATAATTAGAAAACTAACAAAGTAACCATTTTTTGCCACATACCCCAAC